TAAAATACCAGCTAGCAATAACATGGGGCTAGAATGTTACTACAAAACTTCAGATGCATATAACACAGGAGGGTAAAATAATGGCCCCTGGGAAACCTTTACACAAAAATTATGTTAGAACACTAAAGACCCTATGAGAGGTCTTTAAAAAAACTCATTATATCAAACAGACAGACAGCCATATGTATTTACAACTCACATAGACAGAAGGTTGACTCAGTAGAGGAAATGGAGCTTCTCCACAGGGAATTCTGGCAACAGAATTTCCAAATCTCCACTGTGAATGTCCTGATTTGACTACACAACAGACTGAGGTTGCATACTTTCTACAACACAGAAACCTAATTTTCCTATAAAATACCATCTAAATGGCCTCACGGACACCTAATGATCCTCAGGATATTTCCCTAGCAAAGTCAAATATGCCACAATCACTCTTATTCCAAAGCCAAGGAAATCAGCGCATGAGGTGTGGAGAACTACTGCTCAATCTCATCTAGTTGTCCCAAAGAAATACTTGCACGGCTATTAACTTTCACCATTATTACATACTTAGAAAACAACAACATGCACAACACTAAGCTATGGTTTCCGTCCACACAGGGGAACTGATCGTGCTATCGCCCTTGGTTATGAGATCGCTCTCGGTCTCGCTAACAAACATTATATAAATATTCAACAAAAGATCAGAAAGGTTTAGCATGACAACATGAAATGCAAATTAACAAAATGACAACTCCCAACAGACCTCTGATGCCTCTTCTGCAATTTCCTGGACAGCAGGAGTATACCCACCTGAGTGCCTGAGAAATGGAGTACCTTATGGAAATGTTACATCACCAACCCTCTAAATTCTGTTTACTACCAAACATCATACAACACAATTCTTTTCCTATGTATATAATATCTCACAGATAATCTCATACCCCTCACAATCACAACACATCATGAAAGGCCCATCAGAAAGAGCTATACATAACATCACCATTGACCAAAATTGGAAAATACAAACATATGCAAATTCAAACTCTTTCACACACCATGTAGACATATTGTCAACAACACCAACATCCCATATACACACAAAGGGATCATACCTGGATTCAAACTACCCCCTGTCTCCCAACTGACACCCTTGATTCAGACCCACTACAAAATGACCCAACAAATTTCCTTCAAGAAACACCAAGACCCTTCCACCTCACTCTCCACAAAATAACACCCTCACACCAAACAACCTTATACTACTGTAGCAGCCACCTGCATCCTGCACAACTCGGCTCCACATACTTCCCTGGTTCGGTCATGCTAGGTCCCACAGCCTTGCTCTCTCTCTAGCAGGTGCTTCTTGCGACTCAGTGCCGAGATGTGACTGGTTGACAAGGAGACCTCTCGGCTCTTCGATTTGACTGAATGCTCTCCTCGTTCTTAGTTCGCTGACACAGCTCCTGCATACTTAACCCATTCGCGCCCACTGTGTGTTTACTTGTTTAATTGTTTTTACACATAGATGGCTACACTTGTACTTGTACTGCCTGTCTTGCCTGTTTATCCTTTTCTTTAATTTATGAAAATATTTTACGTTATCTTATTTTGCTGTTACTGTTTAAATCATTATAGTAATTATAATGTCTATAATAAAAATAACCATCGATATTCATAGCACTAGTAAAAAATACATTTTCCGGCCAATTCAAGTAAAGGTGAAATCAGGTAAGGCAGAGCCATCTAGTGTAGAGACATTTCACAAAAAGATATAAAAAATTAGCACAGCATTTTCTGTTCATTTTTACTCGTCGCGAATGGGTTAAGCTTTGGGATCTGGAATAGAGATCATCAGCCTCCAGAGTAGTACAGTGGTAATGCGGCAGGCTCTTATCCAATGAGTCGGCAAATCGGTGTAAATTCATATCACTAAACTCACACCAGTATAAAGACAAAAGAGATGCTCGGTTCCTTGTCGTTATGACAACACTATCATTGAGGACACCAACAGCGAGGAAAGCCTCCCCAACAGGGTATCTCTTGATAGACACGGAAGCATCGCGAATTGGTCCACTGATTCCCGATAACCATAGGTCTCCCTCTCCCAGGAATCCCTCCTGGAGCTCAAGGAGGCCTAGCATAGGCCTTAACTTTGTGAGCACCAAATGCCACAAAAAGTAGCAGTCAACTTAACCTCCTCTGACTAGAATGCTTACAATTGTATAAGTGATTTTTCTTTTCTTTTTTTAATATGGTACATATTACGTGATTTTCTTGATCAAGAAAAGTCTGACATTGTTCTTGTGAAGTACAACACTATCATTAATCCCAATCATCTCCTATGAGATGATTGGTGTGTAGGTTCCTGCTGTCTCGTAGAATCCACCCTTCATTTCAAATTCATTTTGCGGCCATTCATTGATTGTGATTTCATGGCTTTCAAGCTATTCATTCATCAAATCCCTAGACTGATACCTACTGCTTGTTCCACTCCAATTAGAAACTTACCTCTCTATTATTTTCATAAATTATTTGACTAATCAACCAGTTTTCTACGCCAGGG